CAAGCTTGTGTTGTAGGTATTTTGAAACTTAGTATGATGGTTGTGTTAAGAACTTTAAAATTTTGCATGTAATGGTGTGTATGCAGTATGCACATTTTGGTAATGAATTAATTTGTTTTGTGTACTACCCTTCACAGATCAATTAATAACATTGTACATTTCAATTGCAAATCAAAACCATCTTAAATGAGCATTTACAATACACTTAACAATTGCATTTCAAAATCATTCAAGAAATTGAACAATCAACTATTACAAACTACATTCCATTACCATTACCATTACCACTCCATTACACATTAATCTGATACATAAACCAAATACAACAACACCAATTCCAAAACCCCCTACATAAACTAAAAGCAAAAAAACCCCTATTCGATTAAAATAAAAATAAAAAACCCTGCAATGGTTACAAACCAAAAACCAAAACTCCATTACCATCCAAACCTTCACAAGATACTTAGAGATTAAAATAATACCAAAAAAAACACCCATGAACAAAACAACATCAGTTGGTAGTTCCACAATTCTGCACTTGTAATGGCAACCCTCTCTTCCAATCGGTTCATTGATCTTATCAAACCTGGAATCACCACCAATGCCCTAGCACACATAGGAGGATCAGACCATCGAAGGAACCCACATCTTGTACAGTTCCAAAATTGGCTTCCAGGGTTACGATCCGTCCATGAAGTGATCTTCATTGCTTCATTCCCACATCTGCAAGTCACCATCTTTGAATCAGAAGCGATTGGATGTCATGAAGGGTGCAACGGTCGAGCAACAGCGGAAGGGAGAAGAGAGATGACGACTGATAAAGGTAAAGGGTTTGCCTAAAAATCGGACATGCAATTTCTTTTAAAGAGAGAAGGTTACAACTGAAATGACGAAATTACCCCTGCAATATAAAATTAAAAAATGAGTTAACGGTGAAATGCTAACGGAGTGAGCCGGAAGGACCAAATGTTAAAAGTTTTGAAACCACAGGGACCGTCTGTGAGGTTTTTTGAACTTAGGGACTAAACTTGATATTTTCGAAAACCACAGGGACCATTTTTGAGGTTTTGTCTTATTATTATTATTATTATTATTATTATTATTATTATTATATTCCCGCCGCCCATTCTATTTCCCACCAAAAGTACGAGCCAGAACGAAAAATTATTGTAGTTTTTCATCAACCTTTCCGTAGATCGTCGCCCCTGCTCTATCGCGCTCCCTTAGTGCTGCTGCCGTGAGGCATCCAGACTCCGTCGCCCTGCCCTTGTCACTGAGTTGACTCAATCTATGGTCGGGTAAAACATAAAATCAATGTTTTAAAAATCGGTTTTTTAATTGAACCGGTATGGTGGCCGGCTCCCGGTTCAACCGGTTTGACCGCCGGGTGAACCTGTTTATATATTTTTCATGTTTTTTCTATTTTCCTACACATATATACATATATACATTATGAATTTGATATTTACAAGTTCAAACTTTAAAAATACACATAAAAATAAGTTGCGGATGAATCCAAATTCATTAAAATAACACATAACCATAAGTTTTAGTGTTTTACATCAATCCATATACGTCAAAAAGAAAATAAAGTATAATACCGAAACAAAATATAGTTTTAGATGAATACAAACACATCAAAAAACTTTATAACATTTACCATATGTTTTTATTTAGAGAAAACTAAATAGATTTGAAAAAAATCACCAAAGTTTATTATGTAAATGATTCTTTTTCATGTGTTTTTATTCAGTTTAACATGTTTATTTTGACCGGTTCAACAGAGTTTTTCTAAAAAGCGGTCGGTTCAATCCGGTTCAGAAATCAATGTAAAACCGGTGATAGTTGAACCGTTCCCTCTCCCGGTTCCCGGTCCAACCGGTTCGACCGGCCGGTTCAAACCGGTTTTTAAAACATTGCATAAAATCGGTTACTTCTTTTGTTCAAAACTCGTCCATAATTCCATTAGTCGTTGTTATCTGGTGTCTGTAGCTGTGTAGTTGCCTAATTTTGTTTCATTCTTGGACAATTACTCCCAGTAACCTTTAGTGGTTAGGGTTGGAGAAAAGACTATTTGTAATCCCCTAAAAGTAGCTTATCTGTATGTTTTTTCAAGAGAGGTGATATTATATCTGAATTAATACATCTGTGCTAGTTATTATGTGAATTAACACCATTTTAAGATGAATTCTGGTAACAATATAAGGATCTCTTTTAATTTATAGGTCTCATATTCCCAATAGTTTACCTGGGTACTTTATCCATTGTGCTTTCTTCAGCTTTAAAGATGTTTTTTTCTCTAGTGTATCTTCAACCATTTTTTTACTTGATATTCATGACGATGATTTAATATTTGTGCTAATACTTGCAGTTCTTTCTGTCATTTGTTGATTGGTTCTTAGGATATGGAGTGGTTGATTGATATTTTATAAGTATTTAAGAATCCTTGATGAATTCAAGCTGAAGGTCTTCCATGAAAGTAAAACCAAAGATGTATTGAGTGAGAATTATTTTTAATACACTCAATAGTAGCATTGTATTTTCAATTTTTTTTCCTATTAGGACATTATATACTTTGAGCAATGACATCAGTATAGTTGGGTAGATTTTTGAAGAAGACTGTTGTAATAGAAAGAAATGAAAGCAAGAAGCTATAAGTCTATAATAAACAGATAAGTGAAAGTACATTGCTATAATATTTTCTTTTTTTTATGATTCTAGTCAAAATTTACTTATTTAACCTGCTACCAATCATTATAAGATATCAGTGAGGCTAACTGTGGCCCACAATTTTTTGCAAGTTTGTGTTACCAAGGGTACTTTAGGTATTTCACTTGATGATCATCTACTATGTTTTCATCCATAGGGAATAAACTAAAGTATCAGCCACTGTTCAGCCGTTTCTTTTGCTCCATCTTGATGTATCTCATGAAGGTGTTGCCACTGCATTGAGGAGACTTTTGGTTTATCTTCTATCCCTAAAACACTTGGCACAACCAATTCTTGTTTTCTTTCAATATTTTTTTTCAATCTATTTAAATGTGTTGTCAAATCTTTTGTTATCATGGACTCAAACTCATTGAAGAAGGTGGGACTCATTTGCTAAAATATCATGATTACTTTTTATTATTTTTTCATATATTGTTTATACATCATTTATCTTCTCAAGCTGGGGTGGTGAACTGAGTACTCTCACCATTTTATCGAATGAGCAGCCGGACTATTATTTTTTATGATTACTATTACTATAATAATAGTTTAGTGGCTAAGGTGCTGTTTTTTTTTAATAATTATAGGAGTTCATAGAGACAACACTTAATCCAGTAAACTTTTATATGGATGTGTCTTAATGACATAATGCAAAATGAACGACTTAACAGAGAGTGACTTGTCAAAACCTTTAAAGAAAATTGCCTTCATTTATTTTTCCTTTAATTTCACAAAGTGTGCTATAGTTTTGCTGAATATCTTTTTTTTAAGACAACACTTCATCCAAACAACACTTAAAAGATAAAAATCGGGAACTAATATTTTAAAACCATATAGAATAAAATGGTGAAACTATGTTGTACTTTTTTATATTTTGTTGTGATATCAAAACCAAAACCGTGTGACCTTGTGCTGTACAGTCCACTCGTGCTTAATGATGGGTAGATATGTCATTTCATATTTGGAATTTTCCAAGAAAGGATGTGTTACCATTTGAGATCCCAAAAGGTTTTCATCAACTAGATTATGGAGATTATATATTTTTTAGTATTTACCATGTTTTAATATTGCTCCCTGTTGACATCCAATTTTTTTTAGGGCGAAATGCAATAAACGAAAAAATTGAATTGCTGAAAAAACATATCTTTGCTGAAAAAACAAATTTAATCTATTAATTAAATATATGTATATAATAATAATATTTATTTACTAAAAACATATCTTTGCCGAAAAAACAAGGTGTAAGCAGGATAAACGAAAAAATTGAATTGCCATTTTGCGTGGTCTCGTTTTCAACTCTTCGTGGTTGCCTTGTGGGACGTTGGTATACATGTTGCTGTTTCATTATTTGAACTATGATGTGGTTGCATGAAATCGTATTTTATTTTATATATATAAATTGTGTTTGCAACTTGATTGACAAATCCGGAAATTGTGAGCAATATAAATTGTATTTTATTTATATATAATTTAAGTGGGCCGTATAAGTTGTGATTCATGTGTTGGCCATAAAGGAAACTAGGAATGTCAAAACAAATCTGAAAATTGTGTTTGGCTGTTTGCAACATCAAATAACCGCACAACTCCTTACATAAACCACACCACCAATAATTTTGGACTTTAGGCTGAAAACCGAAACCACATAAAACCGCAAAACTGAATCTATCGGATTTACATATAGAGAAACCGCATGTTGCTGTTTGGTTTTATCCAAAAACCGCACCATGCGCACCCCTTAGGGACCATTTTTTTAATTTACTCTTATAAATATATAAAAAGATAACCAGTTTTTGTACAACGCATTTCAAATAAACCAGCTAGTAAATAAAATCCCAAAATAAATTGTGTTTGATATTTACTGAAAGAAACCTATCCACAGAACATCACAAATAAGGATTTTGTATCTGGTATTTAGTTATTTACTAATATCATCCTTGGTTATCTCTATATTCAATTAGCCTTGTAAAACTTTATCTGATTTGCCTCACTGCCATGGTGTAGATAGCCTTGCTCCAACTATAGAAATTAAGCAACTTCCTGATCACCAAATATACTCAAAAGAGAAAGATTCTTCCGTTAATCACTAGTGCGAACTAATAAGTTGTCATAATATATGAAGAAGTTTACATTAATGTGTAGACTTACATCATCCTTATGGTACTTATCACCAGTTATACTCAAAAGAGAATGATAACAAATATTAATTATAATAATAGTATTATATTTAACAAGCAAGTCTTCTAGTACTTATGGGAGATACGGATGATCGGCAAGGTGATGACATACCTTTTCTACTCCCATACATCTATTGTCAAATTTGATGGGTCATAAATTGTGACAAGATCTGTAATCTTCGGGCATGACCTGATATAAAGTGTTTTAAGGCAGGGGAGGTGTTGTAAGACCTCTGAAAATGATTCCACATCCACAAAATCATGGAGCTCTAGAGAAACCAAAGATGGTGGAAGAAGAAAAGATGATGATGATGATGTAGTATTCCTCACATCGTTTGCCACTGCAAATGAAACCACTCCTGAATTTTTGCCAAATAACTCTAATTCAACTAGCGAGGTAGGAAAACTCTACGGGTCCCACTCTGACATGGGCTTATTTAAGCCTCCTATTATTAGTTTGCTTAAATTAGGAGGCCACACCCCACAAGGAAAGGAGTAGTCCATACTTGGACACTCATATATCCACAGTTCTTCCAAAGATGTGAGACATTGAAAATGCTCATGAGGAAATGACTTTAGATTCTGACAATATCTGATCTGAAGAGATGTTAGGCGATATGTTGGAATGGGTTTATCACTTTTTATGTTATTAAAATCACTAATTATCGATTCAGTGAGAGGCAATGGGTGCTCCTGCATTGCTGAGAAGGTCAAGGATGTCAGTGAATCACAATCTCGTATCTCCAAACTCTCAACACTATTTGGACAATTGTAACTATCCAGTGCATCACAGCCACTAAACGTCACTTCTTTCAGAGAACACATGCTAATCCCAAAATCAACCTCTTTCTTGGCTGATAAAACTAACTTCCTACAAATCCGTACTTCCAACTTCTGTAAACTCACAAGATTGTGTTGGGGTTGAAACACACTTTTATTCAGAACTAGAACAAAAGAGAAGAGCTTACACGCTCAATATTACAAGAAAAAGAAACAACCCTCTAATACTCACTCTAAGTATTACACACTACACTCTCTGTTTGTGGTGTCTTACAACTGAGGTTAGAGCCTCTATTTATACTTAAACAAGCCTACAATTACTACTGCTACCATTTATTGTGTTCATTATGTGAACATACGAAATTGTCATTTGAGTTCTTATTGTCAACAAAGGAGGGATTCATTTGTCAACTAAAGAGGGTGGTACAGCTACTCATGGCAGGTTCACACCCAAGTAGGTTTACACTCACATTTTCCCCCTTAAACCTAACTTGGCTCGAGATTCGTCACTCTGATCATGTTTCGCATTTCACCATGTTTCACGTATGCTAAAGCCTTTGTAAAGATGTCCGCCCGTTGATCCTTCGAGTTGACATATTCCACTATAATTTGCCCACGTTCAACACATTCTCGTATGAAGTGATAACGAATGTCAATGTGTTTGCTTCGACCATGAAACACAGGATTTTTCATCAATGCGATTGCTGACTTGTTATCGACATATAAGGTGATAGGCATAATATGATGTCCCGTGAGCTCCTTCACGAGATTAGCAAGCCAAATGGCTTGACATGCTGCTATTGTAGCTGCCATGAACTCGGCTTCACACGTGGACAAAGCAACAGTCTTTTGCTTTTGGGATTGCCAAGTTATCGCATTCCTTCCTAGATAGAAAATCATTCCACTTGTGCTCTTGCTATCAACAGGGTCACCTCCAAGATCACTATCGGTAAAACCAACCAAATCTTCAATTTCACGACCTCTTCCATAGTTGATTCCATAATCAACGGTTCCTTTTACGTATCGCAAGATGTGTTTCACAACTTGGAAATGCAAAGTGGTTGGTTCCTCCATGAAACGACTTGCAATTCCAACCGAAAATGACAGGTCTGGTCGAGTGTGAGTCAAGTACCTCAAACAACCTACCACTCGCCTATATTCAGTTGGATCAACTTTTTCACCATCTTCATCCTTCTTAACCTTCAACTTAGGTTCCATTGGTGACGTTGTCGGATTGCAATCCAGCAACCCAAATTGCTCTAAAATCTTCTTTGCATAAGCCGTTTGTCGCAAAGATATTCCCCACTTCTTTTGTGAAACTTCGATTCCAAGGTAGTAAGAAAGTAATCCCAAGTCACTCATTTCAAATTCTTTCTTCATTTGTTCTTTGAATTCGACAACATCATTAGTGTTCGACCCGGTAATGATCAAGTCATCAACATAGACACCAACAATAAGAATTTTGTCTTTTGAGTTCCTTTTGTAAACAGCTGGGTCTTGTGAACTTTTTGTAAAACCAAGCCTTTTTAAGCTTTTATCCAAACGAATGTTCCAAGCTCGAGGAGCTTGTCGTAGACCATAAAGAGCTTTATAAAGCTTGAACACCTTGTGATTGTTTGCTTTATCAACATATCCTTCTGGTTGGGTGACATAAACCTCCTCTTTGAGATCTCCATTGAGAAAAGCCGATTTGACATCGAGATGGTGGACAACCCACCCATGTTGAGCTGCTAAGGCAAGAATGAGCCTTACGGTGTCAAGTCGTGCTACCGGTGCAAAAACTTCATCAAAGTCGACTCCTTCCTTTTGTACAAATCCTTTTGCTACAAGTCGAGCTTTATGCTTCACCACTTTTCCCAAGTTGTCTTTCTTCACTTTAAACACCCATTTCAAACCGATTGCTTTGTGTCCGGGTGGCAAATCGGTAAGTTGCCATGTCTTGTTCTTCTCGATTGCATCCAACTCTGTTTGCATAGCCTCTTGCCATGCCTTAGAGGTTACCGCCTCTTTAAAATTCAAGGGTTGATCCGATGCAATCATCAACAATTCTCCGGGTTCAAGGAACACATTTTCGGTTTCAGAATAAATATCGGTTAACGGACGCAATCCCCTTGGCCCAATCTCACTAGAAGGGCTTTCCATATGGGGCGAGGTTGAAGAAAACGGGGCTGAGACAGGAGTATGTGGAGCTGGTTCAGGCTCGTCAAATTCAGCATATGGTTGTCCAACTTCGATAGCATCGATTCCTGGACTGTTTGGTTGTTCCAGATTGATTTCGGGGTCATTTTGAGGTGTTTCGAGGTGTATTTGGGGTTGTGGTTCAATTATGGTAAAGGTCTTAGGAGTCGCCATCTCTTCTTCTTTGTTTTTGTACCAATTCCATTCTTCTTTTTCGTCAAAAACAACATCGCGACTAACTCGCAAGTTTCGGTCTTGTGGATCAAACAAACGGTTGCCTTTAGTTCCATCTTCCACACCTAAATACACCATCTTCTTACTTCGATCATCAAGCTTCTTCAAGTGACCACCTACAAGTTTAGCAAAAGCAACACAACCAAAAACTTTTAGATGTTCAAGGTTGGGCTTTTTGCCAAACCATGTTTCATAAGGCGTCTTGTCGGGAAGTACTTTTGTTGGCAGGCGGTTGAGAAGATAAACTGCATGTCTAACCGCTTCTCCCCAAAACTCTCCCGGAACATTTCTACCTTTGAGCAGACTTCTTGCCATGTCCATAACGGTCCGATTTCGCCTTTCTACAACTCCGTTCTGTTGAGGCGAATATGGTGTCGTAAGATGCCTTTGAATACCATTTTCTTCACAAAATAATGAGAATTCTTTTGAAGTGAACTCTCCCCCTCGGTCCGTTCGAAGTATCTTTATTTGATAACCCGGATTCTTTTCAACCATCAACTTGAACCGTTTGAAAGCGCTCAAGGCTTGAGACTTCTCCGATAGCATGTAAACCCACGTCCACCGGCTAAAATCGTCTACTAAAAGGAGAAAATATTTACTCCCTCCAACAGACGTAGGTGTGATCGGACCACATAAGTCCGCATGAACAAGTTGTAGAGGTTTTTGAGCTCGAAAAACTGCATGATCCGGGAAAGGAATTCGGGTTTGTTTGGAAAGAACGCACCCTTCACATACTTGGTTTGGGTGCTCAATCTTTGGGACTCCGATTGCCATATTCTTTTCGGACAACTTCTTTAAGGCGAGAAAGTTAACATGACCGAGTCTAGAATGCCATATCCAAGCTGGTTCGTCTTTTGTTGCTAAAAGACAAGTCGGTCTACCAGTCCTTAAAGGAGTTTTATATAACTGGTTTGGGGATCGTTTAACTCTCAAAAGTGGAGTTTTGTTTCTGTCAAACAATGTCATATCTGACCCATGCATTATGACCCGACTCCCTTCCTCCGTCATTTGTCCAATACTAATAATATTGTTTTTTAGACTTGGAATGAAATATACCTCATTAAGGAGTCTTTGGTCGCCATTTTTGCTATCGAATAAAATCGACCCTTTTCCTAAAATAGCGACGGTCGAACCATCCCCAAATTTCACATGGCCCGTAACGTGCTCATCTAGTTCGCGAAACTTTGAGCGGTCTCCAGTCATGTGATTGCTAGCACCGTTGTCGAGATACCATACCTCAGACTCGACTCGACTTTCTCCCGATGCAAGAAGATTAACACAAATCTTCTCTCTTAGAGACACTTTTTTGTGTGCATATTCATGTGAGGTTGCCATCATTAAAATAGACTCTTCTTCGTTGGCTTGAGTGAGGTTTGCCTCCTCACCTCGATTCTTGTTTGGACACTCCGAAGCATAATGACCAAATTGTTCACAAGTAAAGCATTTGATTTTACTTTTATCCTTTCGAGAAGGATTATCGTCATTCCGATTTGTATTGTACTCGCGACCACCTCCTTGGCCACGTCCACGACCTCGGCCTCGTCCCCGGCCTCGGTTACCATGTCCTCCTCGTCCTCTTGAAGTGTTTGACGAGTTTCTCTCGCCAGTTTGCTTCAAACGAGATGCCCACTCGGCATGTGTAAGCAATAGAGAAGGTCCTTCTTCTTTTTCTCCATAGCTTCGAAGTCTCTCTTCATGGGTCTTAAGACGACCCACAACTTCTTCCACCGTCATATTCTTCAAATCTCCGAATTGCTCGATCGATGTTACGATTTGTATAAATCGTATCGGTACGGCTCGCAAAAACTTCTTCACAACCGTAATTTCTTCAATCTTTTCACCTAGAGATCGAATACCGGTTACGATAGTATTCAATCTCATGGAAAAATCATCTATCGATTCACTGTCTTTCATCCGGATCACCTCGAAGTCACTTCTCAAGGTTTGAGCTTTAGCCTCCTTGACCCGATCGGCTCCCATGTGCATCATCTTGAGCGTTTCCCATGCTTCTTTAGCTGTGTCCTTCTCAGCTAACATCAGAAGTACGTCCTCTGGAATTGCTTGATAAATAGCCGCAAGAGCCATCCGATCTTTACGTTCGTCCGTTTCTGCATTTTTAATTACATCCCATACTCCTTGTGCTTGTAAATTCACTCGCATTTTTATGGCCCACACCGCATAGTTCATCTTCGTGAGCATTGGATAGTGTAACGTAACGCTACCGTCTTTCCCGGTCCTTTGAAAACTTTCAACTCCGGCTTGAGAAGATGAAGAGGTTGGTGTAGTCATTCTTGGCATATACTTGGGCATACACGAGTAAGAATATTTTTTTTTTTTTGAAGTACGGGGACCAATATGAACTTTTCAGAAGTTCAGGGGGCAAATAGAACTTTTATAGAAGTAAAACAGGGGCTAAATTGAAATTTTTCTGAAAAACGGGACCAAAATTGCAATTTTTCTGAAAAACAGGGGCCAAATTGCACTTTCCGGAAGAACAGGGGCTAAACTGCAATTTCCAGAACTTTGGTCAGCTGCTGACGTCACTGCTGATGTCACTGCTACAGTGCTTGCTACAGTGTCGTCTTCTCCGGCGAACCCTGGTTTTTCCGGCGACTTTTCCGGCAGATTTGACCAACTTTGACCGGTGATTTGGAGGCCTTCCGGTGGTCAAAAATTTAAAAAAATATATTTTCGGAATCCTCAGAACGAGACCTTTCCAACGGTGTACTCCGAAATTGTTTTTGTGACAAAAAAATTTCGACCAAAAAAACAGAGAATGCTTCCCCCGGAGCTTAACCAAGCTCTGATACCACTTGTTGGGGTTGAAACACACTTTTATTCAGAACTAGAACAAAAGAGAAGAGCTTACACGCTCAATATTACAAGAAAAAGAAACAACCCTCTAATACTCACTCTAAGTATTACACACTACACTCTCTGTTTGTGGTGTCTTACAACTGAGGTTAGAGCCTCTATTTATACTTAAACAAGCCTACAATTACTACTGCTACCATTTATTGTGTTCATTATGTGAACATACGAAGTTGCCATTTGAGTTCTTATTGTCAACAAAGGAGGGATTCATTTGTCAACTAAAAAGGGTGGTACAGCTACTCATAGCAGGTTCACACCCAAGTAGGTTTACACTCACAGATTGTTGCATGCTTCTGATTCTCGTTCCCATAAGTATCTTAGTTCAACACATCTAACAATATATAGTTCTTCTACCGCCCCAAGATGAATTAAATCTTCTAAATGCAGATGAGTAAGTCCTTTAACATCCAACATTTTCAATGTAACAAGTGACGCTGACACACCAACCATGCCTTTTAACACCTCTTGGGAACATTCTTCTATATATAAAACCTGGAGTGAAGGTATCAATCCGATTGACACTTGAGCTAGTTCTGGACAATTGCTTATACAGATCTCATGAAGATGAGGAAATGATCTACGAGTTCCACCGTCATCACCACTATCAATCGACCATCTCTGCCAACCTTGCATACCCTTAAATGTCAAAACTTCAAGGGATGGAAATGTAATGCCAAGAAAAGAATTTGTAGGTGCAAGAAACTCAAAACCAACAGTCTTCACCTCATTCATTCTTTCAACAACCAATTTCTTAAGAGACTGTAGATGTCCAAGTGTTGGTATGTGGGTACTTCTAGAACCACATAATGTAAGCTCTGTTAATTGATCAAATGAGGGATTGCTGACCCAACCAGGAAATCTTGTTCCCTTATAGAACAAAATCTTGAGGATTTTTAACTTAGGATGAGGCCTTAGTTCTTGAAGTACTTCATATTCAATAATCTCATTCCGAGAATCATTAGACTCATTACCCCAGTCCATCTCCAAAACATCAAGACCCTTCTTTTGATGTAAGTTGGCATCTTTCGCGTGCATCGGGTTTATCACTTTTTCCTGCCCCATTATGGAAAGTCGACCTTGGAGATCCGATAGGCCCTTAAGATCGGATATTTTGAACCCATTACCTTCTTCAATCATGACCTTGGATAGGGTTTGAAGACTTGACAACCCAGCAATTCCTAAAGGCATCTTGTTCAAATTTGGAGTATCACTTAAGCCAAGATGTCGTAGGGTTATTAACTTTGCAAAACTTCCTGGCAAGCTAGATAAGCGTGGACAATTATGAACAAACAAGCTCTGTAGATTATAAAGGTCACTCACTTCTTCTGGCAAACATGTGATTAGAGTATTAGAAAAACTAAGATACCGTAGATGCTTAAGACTACCAACGGATTGTGGTACCTCTGTGATGGATCCAGTTAGTTTTAGCACCCTTAGGAAGTGTAGTTTATGAAGTAATTCAACATGAACATTGTCTAACGAAAAAGGCGACACTGTAAAGAAAGTTCGCAAGCGTGTAGCTCTTGTTAATTCATGAAGCTTTCTATATGATACAAATGGCAGACCTGTTCGTGAAAAGTGACGAAACTTCTCAAAAGTTTCATTCGTGTCAGATACATCCATCTCAGCATCCAATCTACAGAAAAACTCTCCTGCAACACTTGTGGCCAAGTCGTTTATCAGGTCATGCATTGTATATGTTAACTTGTCATTTGTTGAAAGTTGAAAAAAGGATCTTGACTGTAGCTCTTCAAAATACCGATTACCTAAACTCTCCATTGACTTTGATTGGGACAAAAATCCCTCTCCCATCCACATTAGGACCAATGCATTCTTGTGAAACACACAGTCCTTAGGAAATAAGGAGCAGTATGCAAATAATTGCTTCAAATGTGGAGGGAGGTGATAGTAGCTTAGTCTTAGAGCCGGAAGAATCTCACTTCCATCATCTATATCCCATATCTCACTCTTCAACAATTTCTCCCATTCATCATCATTTCTATTTCCCTTCAAGACCCTCCCAAGTGCTTTCAAAGCCAAAGGCAATCTACCACATTTCTGCACCATACCTTCACCAAGTGACTTAAGTGTTGGATGTTTGTCAAAGTTTTTTTCACCTACCGCATGCTGAGCAAATAATGGCAATGCATCTTCGCTTGACAAAACGTCCAGACCATAAGATACTTCCGAGTCCATCACCAATGCAACCTTGGTGCTCCTTGTTGTGACAATAACTTTACTTCCAGGTGCCCCTACAAGAAGAGGGCTTTGTAGGAGTTCCCACTTACTGTGGTCTTCGTTCCACACATCATCTAGAACAAGTAAGAACCTCTTCTTTGAAAGTTTTTCTTTGAGGGCCACATGAAGCAAATTAAGATTTGAAAAATTTGTGTTCTCCTTAGCTACAGCTTCAAAAATTGACTTGCTGATATTCAATACATCGTATTCTTCAGAAACACAAACCCATGCCATGAGTTCAAAGTGATCCTTCACTTTCTACTCGTTGTACAAAACTTTGGCAAGAGTGGTTTTCCCTATCCCACCCATTCCAACTATCGACACTATGCTCACATTCTGGTCACATCCTTCATTTCCCAACAATTTCCCCATCAAGGCCTCTTTATCCCCTTCCCGACCCATGATTTTGACTCATCAACCAGTGACGTCTGCTCCAACTGTCTCTCTCTTATATTTGACCTTTCAACATTCACATTCAAACCCAAATCATTTTTCTGGTCAACAAGATCACGCAATTTGGCAGTGATCTCATCTAGCTTAGAACTCATCTTCCGACCATACATGAAGTTGCGAGGAGTGAAATTTGTACAACAATTCGGAAAGAATTTCAATACCTTACCAGTACTGGTGCTGGTATGAGCTTCTTGATTCAACTTGCGTCGCAGAGCTTCGATAGCCAAATCATCTAGTACATCATCTATGTCGTAAGACAAGTCCTGGAGATCATTCACCCACAATCGAACAGCTCTGTCTGTTATGTGTTTCTGGCTTGCATCACCAAGCACGGCTTGGATCAGGGGTAAGGTTTTCTTCCATTTGTTCAGCTAAGAATCGATCTCTTCTGATCGAGCCAGCTTCCTTCATCAGGTCACCAGAGAGCAGCTTCTCACACAGCACAGTGATGACGGCAGTAACAGCGATTTCAGCCATTCGAATTTGGAATTAGGAAAAAGGAAATATCGTTTCCTTGTTGAATTGAAGGTTTTGATTTCAAAGGATGAGAGCTTGCAGACACAAATGGTTGACCGAAAACAGTAGTGCAAACCTGACTTAGGCCCCGTTTGGTAGTTGCTGACTGAGAAAGTGCTGACTGAGAAAGGTCTGTCTAAGTAACAAATTCGACTGAATAAGAAATCATATTGTTTGATTGTACATCTGACTGAACGTGCTGACCGGTGCAAAATGACCATTTTACCCTTGGTTCTATTTGCAACTTAACATACATTTTTTCATAACAAAATAGATATATATATATATATATATATATATACACACACACACACAACATCCAAACATCAACCGATACAAATTCATCTTTTCTACATAAATAAAAACCGTAACTACAAAAATAATAGTAGAAACTTCATTTAGCAACGACTTATCACCACCAACAAACACACGTGTATATGAAAGAAAATTGCAATTCAAAGTGCTAAATGAATGGCTTGAGTTCATCAGGTTGGCACCAAATGTAATTCCCATTACCAAAACATCTAACCAAAAGTCCATGATTGTTTCTTTATCATGGACAACAATAAATAACACACATCGACCCCACATTGTTGCAAAGCAGCAATAACCTTAGCATTGATCTGTTTAAAGTTTTGGTCAAATTACATGTTTGTAATTATAGCGCTTTGACTGTTATTTATGTTCCATATGGTAGCGTTCCTTTGTATACTCAACAATAACCTCTAGTTAATTCCATAAAACGGGAAATACCTCCCTGTCACAAATTTTTGTTTCACAAGCAGATATAAGACAAGTATTATTTCGCAATCAATAATCAACAAAAGAACTAATTCCAAATTTGATCCCTAATCGTATAAAACTAAAAAAGGTTCGACCTTTGACATATCAGCATATTGATTAAAAAAACAAAAACAAATAAGCCACATAAAATCAAAAGGAGGGAGGAAGATGGAGTACCTGGACGGCGCTGCTAGCTTCGGTGGAGAATGGAGGAGCAAGACGATATGGTCGGTGCTGATGAAACAGAAGCCGGTGATGCAGAGGCCGGCCAAGGGTGAAGAAGTCGCTGAAGAGAAATTTTGTTCAAGGAGGGGGAAAAGAAGTTTGATCGATTTGTTTGGAGGCGTCACTGGTGGAGGGTCGGCCAAGGGCGGCTCTGCTCGGTGAGAACGAAGGAAAGGGAGGAGAGAGGTGGGAGGATTTACAAGGAATGAGATGGGAACGGAAGGAAAATACGACCTTAGAGAAGGAGAAGGGCATGCGAGGGATAAAGAAGACAATCGGTCTCGGTCAGCTTCTTATTTTTTCCTTACTGGGTCAGATGTCCAAGGGCCGAGTAAGATATTTATTTGCCCATATCAAACAAGCGGATCTGACCGGGTCAGACAAAAACATCTGACCGGACCCAGCCAGATCAAAATCAAACAACCCCTTAGGCTCCGTTTGATACTCGTCTAGGTCTGAGTCAGCGATTTGGGCTGATTCGGTCAGCTAGGTCCGTTTGATGAGTCGCTGACTCGATCAGAATGTCTGACCCATATAGCTTACTCGGTCAGCTTTATCATATGGCTGAATGGACCAAAAGACAAACCTGCCCTCTTCTTTCTCCTTTGCCCTTCTATTTCTGCCTCATCCTTCGCCTCTCGTCAATTTTCATTTATTCCTCTTGTTGCATCTTCTTTACTGGTACACATCTTCTCCTTCTTCCTTCTTTACTCTCCAAACATCAACCCTCAGCCAATACTTTACATCCTCTTTCCCCCTGCCCCTCCATCGCCTCCCCTCCTGGGTAAGTTTTCTTTCTTGATTTTCTGAAATCCGTGCTTGAAATTTATTTTCTAAATGCTTGAAATCGTGAAGGGTTGGTGATTAATTGGAATATTTGAGTCAAAAAATTCGGATTATGTTTGGATTTGATCAAACGTGATTGAAATACAACTGCTAGAGTAGTATTGATATCAATACTGGGCTAGATCCAAATGCAATTAGGGGATTTTGTTTTTTCTATTTTGATGAATCTGATTTTATGAAAACAGATTCGCTGTAAATTTATTTATTTATTATTATTATTATTATTTTGTAGTGAGCCTAAATATCAAGTTTTATATTTGGTGGAGAGATTATAAACAAGTTTGGTTTGTTTGAAGAGGAGAGATTGAATGTTTTTATAAACAAAATGTAATGTTATAAATTAAATGGTAATAAAAAAATTATTATAAAAAATATTGTCTTAGGGTAAAATGATCATTTTTCAGTAGTTAGCACATTCAGTCAGATGTACAATCAAATCAGATGTACAATCAAACACTATGGCTTCTTACTCAATCAGAATTCCTTACCCAGACAGATCTTTTTCAATTAGCACTTTTTCAATCAGCAACATTATAGGATGACTAAATTACAGATTTGGTCCATATGTTTAGATGCTTTTCGGTTTAGTTCCAAAACATAACTTATTTGCAATTTTGATCCATTCACTGAACCGTCAACTTAAACAGCACACAACTACAAAGTACAAAATATATAAAAAAATAATCATTTTGCGTTTTTGTTCTTCATGACCTCATAATTAAATCCTTAAAATAATAATATCTTTCCGCAAAAACAGCTAATCAACTTCAACCAAAATGTATAAGGCTATAAGGTGTGGGCAACGCCGGTGGATGTTTTTGTGACGTGGGCACCAGACAACGCCGTGAAAACGGCAAATGGGGACGGTGTTTCAGGCTAATAACGCCATCGTGAGGAGCAAAGCAAAAAGGAAGAGGAGAGAAACGGGACGTTTCCTTTCGCTACCACAACAACGCACCATAACGTAAAGGCTAAAACCATCAGGGCATGGCGGTGTTCCAGGCTTGCAACGGGCACTTTCCGGGCATTTTCTCATGGACATGTCGCAGTAATGTCGGTTGGCGTTGCCCATATCTGCGAGTCTAAATCATGATAAAATCTTAAAATCTATATAAAAACCTAATTTTTAATATCAAAAGGAACCGAAATCCATTAATTATATGAAACTCAAATTTTTTTTGTTTGAAGCTTTAATACACCTGGGAGCATCATGTTCTTCAATTGACCATTGATAAATAACGACTGAACAAATATTTAAAAGAAGGGAAATTAAGCAATCTAACCATTTTTTAGTGATTTTTTTAAAAAAAAAATAACCACTTGGAATTTTATTTTAAAAAATAACCATTCGATCTGAAATGCGCATTCCGGCCCGGATTCCGAAAAGGGTAAACGGGTAAACTAATCCGACTGTGGTCTCCCATCTATAACATGTCGGACCGTGTGTTCAAAATCACTCTTTTGGACTTTATTTCAAACTCATTGTTCCAGAATACATTAAATTCAAAGAATGTCTTCTTCTCGCAGTAAAGAGATTCACTTTTTGTGAGTATATGTTTATTCTTTTTATGATTATATGTTTTATGTGTAAATATATGTTAAAAATACAATGTAATATTAGCAAGTTCTTCATCATCGACAAACCCTCTTGCATCCTACATCATCATCTCATGCTGTGAGTACTCTCTCTCTCTCTCTCTCTCTCTCTCTCATCACTCCGCCTTCCATACAATCACTGTCATTTCTTCTCCCGCCGTCGCCTCGCCTCCGGATGTGAAACTAACAAGGTGAGTAAACCCTAAAATGATCTCTAATTTCTATTCTTTATCTTCTATTCAACACCCAATTAATCGAAATTCATGCTTTGTTATTATTGTTGGTACGATTACTTTGCGCATGTGAACTACAATTACGAAAATAATGACATTGATTTTGGTGCGGATGTTCATTGGAAGGCGAGCGTTGTAGATGCTGTTGGGGAACCGATTCCGACATCGGCGGTGCTAATGTCGACATTGAAGCACATCGCCGGTAGATGCAGAGGCGAAACTCTAGCCTTCCTCAAATGCAAGAAGTATGATCCCAATCCTGAGAAATGTCTCGACAAAGGCAGCCAAGTTACCCGTTACGTCATGTCCCTGTAAGTGTATAGTTTCCACCAGGATGTTACCTTGATTTTAATAAATCTACATACAAACTAATGTTAGATCTTTGCACATTCAACACAAAGGCATTGATTTTCAGATTCCAAGTTGATAATGGATTTTTTTTGCACATTCAACACAAACATGATTACATCCATATAATTGTCTAACTCTCATATTAATTATGAAGTTGAGAATAGTCATTTGACTTGATTAAGTTGTTCTTTTATTTCAAATGACATAAAATAAGTTGATATTTTATTATATTATAGAAAATTGCACCTGATCACACTGTGAATGGATCTTACTAATGGGTAAGCCATCCAATGTCTTCCCTTTTATGGAGTTAATAAAATAGATGAATTAGAAATAGAATGTTGGTTGCTTTTTCATTTTAACTACAATGGTTATGAGCTGGAGATGGAAGCTGAAGCTAAAGATTCTGAAGATGAAGCAGGAGGCATTTTAACTACAATTGTATATTCTTAATAATACAAATTCTTTAAGAATATTCAAAACCATTATGTAAGAATATTATTGTTGTATTCTGATAGAATTGTAGTTAATTATTTGTATGTTTCATGTGCAGTTGTTACAAGTGTATCACTACAAATTACTTGGCAATGAATTTCTGATAGAAATGACTTGAAGAATGGCTTGAAGACCTGATGGGAAAGGCTTGAAGAATGAATTAAAGAATGATCACACTCACTCTTTAAGAATGATGTTATTTTTTAAGAATTATACTTGTTATTCTTTCAGAATGTTTGTTATTATTCAATGAATCAAAATCATACAATGTAATTATTTGGTATATTATTAGTTCAAGAATCGATTTTGTGTATTCTTTCGGAATGTATTTACTAGTTTATGGTTGGCATTCTGTCATTATGACAGAATAAAATCGAAAAATATATTTACTAGTTTATGGTTAACATTCTATCATTCTGACACAATAAAATCGGATTTTTAATTTTTAATTAATTTAAATTATTCAGATTATTAAAAATAAAGGAATTAATTATCCCTAAAAATCCGAAAATTTGCTTTTTTAATATAGGTTAATTGACTAAAATGCCCTTATGCTGAAATTTGTGTGATTATATGGTACATGTTATCCTATTCTACTATCATAGATCCTCAGATCATGACCTTTGATTATATTCCATCCGATGGTCCAGATCTGTGCATTCTGGCACACAATAGTTAGTAAAAACAAAATAACCTAACCATATATATATATATATATATATATATATATATATATATATATTGTAACATCTTGTTCCCTGCCATTTCTAATCCATGGACCGAAAGTCGATTTTGGAAAGTTTTGGACCTTAAGGAGGCAAAGTTTAGCCCTTGTGGAAGGAGGTAATGGTATATAAGAGATTTTACCCTTAAATTGTGTTCTGGACCGAAGGGTAGAAAGGGAAAAGTCATAGGTCGGGTCCTTGCATGAAATATGGTTTTGTTCGAGAAATTTGTAGTCCAAGATATTTAGATAATATTGTAGAGCTCTTCAACAACTTTTCGTGGATATAAAGAACGTCGAAAACGGAGTTGGAACGAAGAAGTTGTGATTGTTTGAAGTTTGGGTGGTTTTGGGCTGAGCCGAGTACGTTGGGCGTACTCAAACGTGTACGTTGGGCGTACTAGGGCATCCCTAGTACGTTGGGCGTATGCGATCAGTGCCCAAACCCTATTTTCGTGGTTTGAGCCCTATTTAAGCTCCTTAACTTCCCCAAACCCATTCCATTCTCAGCCTCCACCTCTCCAACATCCTCTCTTGAAACCCTAACCCTAGATTGAGCCTTGTGAGTAAAAAAAAGGTGCTTTTAAGTGCTTTGAAGCATTCTTGGTGCACCTTGGAGAAGAAGGAACTCATTGAAGAATTGTTGGTTGCATTAGAGCTTGTAGATCCAAACTTTGTTCACCTTGATCTTTCTTCTAGAGGTATAAAGTTTGAATTTTGATGATGGAATTGTTAGATCTAGCTAGTTTTGGGTGTTATGAGTCTTTGGTCACTTTAAGTGCATAAAGTTTAGATCTTGAAAGTTTGTTACCTTGTTATGGATAAAGTTGGAAACTTTATCCATCTAAACATCATTTTGATTTAGATCTGAAGGTTGGGGACTTGGACTTAATGGATTAAGTTGAAAAGATGCACTTTTGAGTCCCTTTAAGACTTAAAACTAGATCTTGTTTGTTGGGACCATTCTAATGGGTAATGATGCGACCTTGGACTGGCTCGATCGGTATTGTTCACTTGGATTCTCGATTGCCTCTACAAGATCACAAAGAAAGAAGGTCGTCAACCGCTTTTCGGGAGGAGCTCCCGGAAGAACGCTCTGACGGTCAAGTTAGAGAGTGTTTAGGATCTTTGGGTGTGCGCTCTTAGAGAGTCCAGAGAGCTTACCTCGTAGGTCTGAGAGCGTATCCTTTTATACCTAGCTCCCTTTCCTGATCCGTACCAGACAAGATCGCTTTTTGGGGAGATAGGATCAGGGGCGCTGATTGGAGAGTCATGCGCCTTTAACAATTAGGGTGCTCTTATTGGCTCTGACGGTAATGGTCTGATCCTCCTGCTTGTCTCCTGATTGTTTCTTTTGTCTTGGAGCTGGGAGCGTCTCTAGGCGGGCGCGGGCCTTTCGCCTGTGCGTTCCGCTCCCGAGGGCGCCAGCGGACGCTAAGCCTGCTGGGCTGGGCCCGGTTGGCGTGCGCGAGCCTTTCGCCTGTGCCTTCCACTCCCGGGGGGGGCCAGCGGACGCTAAGCCTGCTGGGCTGGGCCCGGTTGGCGTGTCCGACTCGTGCTTCTGCCGTGCTGCCCTAGACACGTCATCAAGTCCCCCAGTCCTGTAGCCGTAGCGTTGCAGCGCTAGCTACGGCGTTCTGGACTTGGATAGCTTACGCGTATCGGTTTTCCTTTACCCGTCGTTCCGTCTTTAATGGTGACGTGACTGCGCATGATGTCTGGCAGTTACGTCACCGTGTCAGACATTTAAATATCCCGCCTCTTCCTCTTCTTTATAAGGGCCTTTGAACGGTTTCTCTTTATCTTTTCCTCCTTCCCTCTTCGTCTTCCTCTTTTCTAGCTTGTCTTCTTCTCTCTTCCTTTCTCATGGAAAACCTTCCCGGTATCCTCCCTTCCGCCACTGAGTATCGTCAACTGGAGGTCACATATGGTTTATCTTCTTTGGAAGGTGTAGAGTTTCTTGCACCTGGTTCTAGTATCTCATCCCCTCCCCCTGGCAAGATTGGGGTTTACTTGAAAACCCTAGACACTGGCATCCGTTTCCCTTTGACTGATTTTCAAGAGGAGGTCTTTCAGAAAGACGGTTGCAGTCTTCAGATGCTGACCCCTAATGCAGTCAACAAAGTGGTTGCATTTGAGATGATCTGCAGGGCCAACGGGTATCTTCCGGATTACTTTGTTTTCAAGTTTTTCTTCCGATTATGCATCACTGGGGATAAGTGCACCTTTTCTGTCCGGCGAAGGGGGCACGCCTTGGTTCCCGACGGGCGGACCCCTAAGAATTGGCAAGACAAGTGGCTATGGGTAGACCAGGAGTTGGTCGGACGCGGCCGGTACCGTGCGAATGCTTTTGCCGATACCATCCCCAAGCTCTTCCCTCACAACCAAAGTGTCGCTGATTATCTGAAGTGTGTGCAAGTATCCCCTGAGGATTATTCTGAAGCTCTGCTTTCTGGTGTGGGGATGAGCCCTTCTTGGAGGCGTCGTGGCAAAATGGCGGTGTTTTTCTCCGTTGTTGACGGTGAGTGTTGTACCCTTCTTTTTCCCTTCTCCCTCTTGTTACTACTATGTGACTGATATTCCTTGTTCTGATATCTCTAGGTGTTGAATCTTCCCTGTCCATGGATGAGGTGTTACGGAAGCGTTATCGGGGCAAGTTAGAGTACCGTGAGGTGGATCTGGTTGATCGGCTTCCTCCACCCCGCCGACTGGACCAGCTTGCCTTAACTGCTGCTCCTTCCGCCCCTCCTGCACGATCGTCAGCGTCGGAGGGAGATCCTTTACGCGCCCGCCCAATCTCTGCTGTCATGCCCCTGGGTAGCACTCGCTCCTCCTCCGTGGAGGGTAGCGAAGACAGCAAAAAGGGGATTATCACGGATGTCCGGCGAATGCAAGCGAAGAGAAAAGCTGTCTTAGCCATGGGTGAGCCGGTTACCGGCGCGCCAACCGCTACCAAAAGAGTTCATACCCGGCGCAGCTTCTCTCGTCTGCTGAGCTCTATGACTTCCACACCGGCCGGTGTGGTCGTGATCCCTGATGACGACACGCAACAGTCCGAAGGGGTCGACGGGGCGGCTGAACAGCCCGTTGCTCCTGCTTTCTCCTCTATTCCCGTTCCAGGTGTTTCATTGGTTTCCCCAAAGTTTTCCCCGGTTAAAGGTTCTAGCGGCCCTGGGTCAGTTTCAGTTCCTTTAGGTGGTGTTTCTGGAGACAGCTCTACTGAGTCTCCTGTTTTTGTTCCTTCCTGGGATCTCCGCAACGATTCCCGACTCTCTGTTCGTAACAATGCTTTGGAATTTTCCCGCCATGCTTTTCCTCCGGCTGCCGTTGGCGATATGGAGGCTATGGGTAATCCTGCGCTCGCTCATAACATGGCCTATGCTGCTGCGCAGGCCATGTTTTACCTTGTCGCGGGTTCCCGTCGTGTTCATGCTCTTGGCGAGATGGAGGCCGCCCACGCTACTTGTGGGCCACGTGTGACGGGGCTGGAACGTCGCCTTGGCGAGCTTGGCGAGGACCTCCGTCTGTCTGAGCAAAAGTGTGAATTGCTATCCTCTGAGAAGACCGTCCTTGACGAAACTAGGGCTGTCTTGGAAGCTAAGTCGACTCCCTGACTCAGGTGAATGAAGGTTTGATGATCCAGATGAAAAGTCTTGAGCGCGATGCTGCTGATCGTGATAAGCTTATTTCGTCATTGCAATCGGATTTGGACGCTTCCCGTCAGGATTTGGATTGGCTGGTGCATGTTGGTGTTGTTCGAATTGTTGATAAATTGATTGAGCATCCGGACTTTACTAACGCGATAAGTCTCATCCGGCATGCTGCTTTTATGGCCGGGGTTGAGTCTGTTCAGAAAACTTCTGATGGTGCTGGTGGTGGAGATGTCGGTGTTGGTACCGCTTCTATCGGTCCCGTGGTTAGTGTGAACGACGCTTTGTTATCTTTTTCCAGTATGGATCATGCATCCTTGTTGGGTCTGGGTGAATTGGGTGTTGGGGGTCTCCGAGAGTTGTGCTCGTTTGCTGGTTCAGAGGGTACTCTGGAAAGTGCAATAGGTCAGGGTATTGTGCCGGTGGCTGAGGTTGATGCTGGGAAGGGTAACGAGGGGTGGCGATGGTGATCGTGGAGAAGGTGAGGTGGCTGTTGTGGGAAACGAAGTCGCATGTGGCGAGGATGATGTTGTTGAAGATGCTCCGGCATCGTGTGCTACCCCTCTTGGGGCGTGAAAATTTCTTTGCATGTTTTAGTTTCTGTCTTGTATGTTTCTTTTGATGGCCATGTGGTGCCTTTAGTTTGTATAACGTATGGGCTTTTGAACAATATTCTATGTTTTATGTGTGTAATCACGAACTCTAAGCGTTATTTGTTTATTGCTTACTC